ACCTTCTCCCCTTGGCAGTGTATTTCAGTCAATCTGCCTGTTCTGCTCCCCCTCTGTGTCTGGTGAATCCTCTCACCTGCCCACATCTCTGCCCTACAACCCAGTTCTTTTTCTCACACACACACACACACACACACACACACACACACACAATCCACATGTTAAGCTTTCTATACCCTGGGCTTTGGGATGATGAAACACCTTAATAGTTGTCTCTGTTTTTATTCTCTGTTTAAGTTTTATTTCTGTTTGGATTTTTTTTTGTCTTTTCTGGTCTTAGTTTTCATTAGTTATATTTGCTAGGTTTTCAAATTTATTTGCTTAGCATTGAGCAAAATAGTCTCTACAATCTTATTGTCTCTCTATTATTTCCAAATAATACTTTATTTTTGTAATTTTGCTCATATTCTTGTAATTTTCCCCTAAAAATCAACATGTGAATCTATTTATTATTTCAGTTTTTCTGTTAGTAGTGCACTGGTTTATTTTCTTATCTTTACTAAATTGTTTTTCTTATGCTTATTCTAATTCCTCAATTATAATGTTTACTCTTACTACTATTTCTTTTTAAAATAATATAAACATTTATGCTAAATGTCTTTATATATTTTTTCAAATGTGTTCTGTGGTGGCTGATAGGCACTTTTTCTAAATAACATACCTAAATATTTTGCTAATTTTCTCTTTGACCAAGGAATTTGTTCAAATCAGTATATTTTTTTATTTTGAAATTTAAAAACGAAAGTTTTTTTTTTTTTTTAAAGATTTATTTATTTATTCATACAGATCTGGGGTACAGGCCAGAGATGCGGAGGGTGAGCGGATTCACCAGAGACAGAGTGGGGAGCAGAACAGGCAGATCGACGAAGTACACTGCTAAGGGGAGCAGCAGGCAGATCAGGAGAGGTCTGCCACGCCATGTGGTCACCTCCGGGGCAGGCGGGGATCGAACTCATGCGGAAGAGGCTTAAGCTTATTAGTGCAGCGCTTTAACCGCTGTGCCACCAGGGAGGGCCTGAAAGTTTTTTTTAATCTATGTACTTTTTATGTCAGAGTATTTTATCTGTCCTTAGCTTAGTTTTACATTTTTAAAATTAATTTGTGTATACATGAGTATTTCATTCCTTTTAAATTACTAATTATTACTGTGTGGTATGAACATGCATTGTCTGTTCCCCAGTTGATATACATTTTATAATTTCAGTTTTGTGACTTCATGAATATATATATTCATTTTTCTTAAAGGCTTGGATTGGATTGCTAGGTAGAATAATATGAGTACACATTAGCTTTTGTAAGATAGTCTCAGCTTGCTTTCCAAAGTGGCTTAAGCCATTTCTCATCCCTGCCAGCAACGTGTGAAAGTGACAGTCACAGCACCTTAGCTTGGCGGGCCCTTTAACTGTAGCCATTTTCATGGATGTGTGTCACTCAGTTTTCATGGTAATTTCTTTATTACTGTTAAGATGAATTTCTTTCAGTTGCATATTGGCCATTTACATATCTCCTTTTGTGAAATGCCTGCTGTAGTTTTTTGCCCAGTTTTAAAACTGGATAGCTTATCTTATTAGTGAGTTTCAAGAATTCTACTTTTTTTCTTTTTTAAATATTTATTTATGCTTACAGAATCAGGGTACAGGCTAGAGGTGTGGAGGGTGAGAGGCTTCACCAGAGACAGAGTGGGGAGCAGAATAGGCAGATTGACAAAGTACACTGCTGAGGGGATAAGCAGGCAGGTCAGAAGAGGTCTGCTGTGCCATGTGGGTCAAATCCCTGGCCCAGGATGGAATTTGTGCTGCAGTTGCTTCGGAGATCTTCATAATGCAGTGCTTTAACCTGAACCTGTTGTGCCCCCAGGGAGACCCTAAGAGTTCTACTTATTTTGGTTACAGTGCCTTTATCAGTTTCTCCCTATCTCTGGCCTTCATTTGGTTTTAAGATTTATTTATTTATGCATGTAGGAATTGGGGTAGGGGACAGAGGTAGGGTGAGGTGAGAGGATTCACCAGAAACAGAGTGGGGAGCAGGACAGGTAGATCTACTGAAATCCACTGATGAGGGGAGTAATGGGGAAGCAGGAGAGGTCTGCTGTGCCATGTGGGTCAGCTCCCTGGCGGGGGATCAAACTCATGTTGCAGTGGCTGCTGATAGCTTCATAGTGCTGCACTTTAACCCTTGTGCCACCAGGGAGGGCCCTGTGGTTCATTTGAAGTAAACTTTGACTTATGGGATTCAGTGTGTTTTGTTTTCTAATTATGGCCATATTACTAGAGCCAGTTCTTGCAATGATTTGTAAGAAAATGAGGATAAAATTTTGAGAGGAGAGGAGTAGATCAGGATAATTTTGAAGCTTTTTGACCTCACTATTAAAACATTTATAAGAGAAATGACTTAAGGGCCTCCCTGGTAGCACAGGGGTTAAGTTGCAGTGCCCTCAAGCTTTGACAGCCACTGCAGCACAAGTTTGAGCCGACCCACATGGTGCAGAAGACCTCTTCTCTCACCCACTGCTTCCCTCAGCAGTGTATTTCAATAAATCTGCCTGTGGGCCCTCCCTGGTGGTGCAGCTGTTTAAAGTGAAACACCGTGAGGCCATCTGTAGCCACTGTGATATATGTTCAATCCCTGGCCAGGGAGCTGACCCACATGGTGCAGTAGACTTCCATCTCCCTGCTGCTGTGTATTTCAGTAGATCCACCTGTTCTGCTCCCCAGTCGGTCACTGGTGATTGCTCTCACCCCTGGCACCTCTGGCCTGTACGCCAGTTCTTCTATGCAAAACGTATAAATATAAAACTAAACAACAACAAAACCCAGCAGAATGGGACTAGGACTACTCTACATGTACATTTTAACTTATCTCCTTCTTTTCATTATGGTGCTGTCATTTAGTTTGCCTGTCATCACTTAGTGTGGAACCTCTTGATTATACCCTGTCTGGATAATAAATTTTTATTTCCTTCCAGCGAGGAGAGTTAGACGCATCCCCTACACCTTTTGTAGTCATTTTGTAAGCTTGCCTTCCGTTCTCACTTGGTTTCTCATGTTCCGGAGTCTCTCTATGACATTCATTGCACGCCTTGTCCCTCTTCTGGTTGGTGTCCTCACCTGCTGACTTTTCATGTAAGGCCCTCACTTCTGCTATTTTACAGTTCTTGCTCTCCTTTCAGAATTTCATAGGCGTTTTCATACATTACTGTCTCCTCAGCCTTTCAGTTTTAAGGAACACATGTCCCTCTATACCTCCTTACTGTCAATTTTTTCCCTAAGGGTTTATTTATTTATGCATACAAGAACTGGGGTGCAAGCCAGAGGGGCAGGAGGTGAGAGGACTCACCAGAGTCAGGGTGGGGAGCAAAATAGGCAGATTGAAGTACCCTACTGAGAGGAGCAGTCGAGAGATAGGGGAGGTCTGCTCTGCCATGTGGGTCAGCTCCCTGGTCAGGTATTGAACTTATGCTGCAATGGCTGTGGACTGCTTCTTAGTGCTGTGCTTTAACACCTTGCACCATAAGGGAAGGCCTCCTTTACTGTTATTTTAAGGAAGGATTTTCAGGAAGCTGTAGAAATGTTTTATTCAATCACATATACTCCTTAATTTTAATCTTTTAGTTTGTTTGATTTTTTAATGATCCTGAGTGGCTGGTTTACCCAATTTTATTTTTGTTCTTTATCTTGCTCATTACCTGATTATTTTTTCCTCTTAGGTTATTTTTCCTCTTAAGCTACATTTAAAAGCTGTTTAAGTTATGGGAACCCATAAATATTATTTGTGTCCCAGCTTTCTTTTATACTGTACATCTGAGTTTTTTATAATAGCACATTTCTGAATTTTATTAATAGCAGAAAATTCTCAAAGGTTGACATGATAGTGATGATAATGACAATAACCATTTTACCTGGATATTTTCTGCATGGTAGGCACCAAGTATTTTATAGCTATTCTTTTCAATGGTTGTTTTGTTTTGTTTTGTTTTTTAATTTCCTTTAGAAAAGGCCTGGGAATTTATAAATAGATGAAGACACAACATGAAGGACTTTGAATTTAGTCTCATCTTCCTCTGAAAATACAGCTAAGGAAAAACATAGATAAGCCTAGTAAACAGAAAAGTATTTTCTCTCATCTCAAACATTGATCCTTAAGTCTACACCTACATGTATGTGACTTAAGTTTAAAAGCATTTGAACATAACTTATTCTTAGAGAAGATGTCTAAGAAAGACCATTGAGAGTTAAATGAGGATGCTGTACTTCCACACTGGCTTTTCAGTAGTCTAATCTCCACATAACCAGTGTGAAAATTCTTTCATCATAAATTCATAATTACTAGACACCCAGGAACTAATACTGGAGATAAGTCACATGAATTTAGTGAATGTGGAAAAGCTTTCTTCCATGTGACATATCAAGAGATACTAAGGAAATTTTGTTGGAGAAAACACCTGTGCATGACAAAAATGTTGGAAAGCCTTCAGCCTGAATCAGATCTCCTTCAGCATGATCAAGTTCAGACTAGAGAGATACCTTTTGAATGTAATGAATGTGGAAAAGCCTTTAGCTTGAAGCAAAATCTTACAGAACATAAGAAAATGCATACTGAAGAGCATTCACACAAATGTACCGAATGTGGTAAGGTATTTTCACGAGTCTCATCCCTTACTCTGCATTTGAGAAGTCATACAGGGAAGAAGCCGTATAAATGCAATAAATGTGGAAAAGCCTTCAGCCAGAAAGCAAACTTACTTTCTCATCAGAAACATCACACTGGAGAAAGTGGGAAGGCCTCTATTCAGATGCCAGGTCTCATTAAACGTCAGAGAAATTACACTGGGAATAAACCCTATTCATGTAAGGAATGTGGGAAAGCCTTCAATGGCAAATCATATCTCACTGAGCATGAGAAAATTCATACAGGAGAGAAACCATTTGAATGTAATCAGTGTGGAAGAGCCTTCAGTCAGAAGCAATACCTCATTAAGCATCAAAATATTCATAGTGGAAAGAAGCCCTTTAAATGTAATGAGTGTGGAAAAGCCTTTAGCCAGAAGGAAAACCTAATTATCCATCAAAGAATACATACTGGAGAGAAACCTTATGAATGTAAAGGATGTGGGAAAGCTTTCATTCAAAAGTCAAGTCTCATTAGACACCAGAGAAGTCATACAGGAGAGAAACCCTATATATGTAAGGAATGTGGGAAAGCCTTCAGTGGCAAGTCAAATCTCACTGAGCATGAGAAAATTCATATTGGAGAGAAACCCTATAAGTGTAATGAATGTGGAACAATTTTTAGACAGAAGCAGTACCTCATAAAACATCATAATATTCATACAGGAGAAAAACCCTATGAATGTAATAAATGTGGAAAAGCCTTCTCTCGAATCACATCACTTATTGTACACGTAAGAATCCATACAGGTGATAAACCTTATGAATGTAAAATATGTGGGAAAGCCTTCTGTCAGAGTTCTTCTCTTACTGTGCATATGAGAAGCCATACAGGTGAGAAGCCCTATGGTTGCAATGAATGTGGGAAAGCCTTCTCTCAGTTCTCAACCCTTGCTCTACATATGAGAATCCATACTGGAGAAAAACCTTACCAGTGTACAGAATGTGGGAAAGCGTTTAGCCAGAAGTCACATCACATCAGACACCAGAGAATTCATACTCATTAAAGCTCTGTGACTGCCTTGAATTTAGGAAAACCTTCAACAGAATTCATACTAATAGTATTTCAGAAAGTTCATTTTATAGTAAAGTGTTATGAATGTGAAGGTTCTTCAAAACTTAAGGTAATAAGAATTTTAAGTAAGTATACTGTCATGAAAACCCAGATCTCCATGACTCCCAGTACAAACATTATTTATGCTATAATTTCAGGAACATTTTCAGTGAAATAAGGATTAAGTCATGGACACTGATCAACATGGTTCTAAAACACCCACCTGATGTGTTAAGACAACACAATACAAATATGAGGTATTTGTAACTAGAGGAGACAAAACTGTCCTTTTTGGTCATATTTTCTGTAATTACATCATCAAAATTAGTTGCTTTTGATGCAGTCAAGAGAACAGACTGTGACAGAATATTGTATCCAGAAACATGCATGCCTTTATAGGAAATTGGTAATTAACAGAGGTGGTATCACAAGTTGGTAGGGAAATCATGGAATGTTTTAAAAAATGGTCTCAGGGTAACTGACTCTTCATATAGAAAGATAATAGATTTTTGGTGTTGTCTTGAAATATTTACTTACTTTGAAATCCAAAAGTATTGTGGATTAATACAAACAGCAAAACATAAGGATTTTGCAGGAAAATAATTTTTAAACCATGGGATAGGACAAAATTTCTAAAATAGATTCCAGAATACCCACTCTTGAATATACACACACACACAAAACAAACACTGAGTGTATGTGTATGTAAAATAAACATATATACTCAAGAAAACAAATCTTATACCTTTATCTTGGTTGCAGCATGAATTATTAAAAAGGTGGAAAGAAATATATGTTGCTTGTGAAATGGTTAAATAAAGTGTGATGTAGTCACACAGAATATTCTATAGTAGTTAAGTATAAACATATTAACAAAGATCTAAATCATGTAAAGAATGGTAATTACAATGATAACTGTGTGAATTAAATCAGCGCTAGTATTCAATGTTGGTTACGTTAAATATTTTCATGTAAAACTGAAGAACAGATTAAAAGGATCCACATTCGGTTCATGAAAGTTTTCATTTCTAGGAAGAAAAGTGATGCAAGGGAAGTAGGACCGAACATGGTAATTAAAAAGAGATAAAGTTTCCAAGTAAATATAACAATGTTAGTTAATTTTGGTTTAGAGTATGCTCTGTGTGTTCTCTTAATTCTGCTATTTCTTTAAAACCTCTGTTAAAAAAAAGATGAGTATATATGCTGTATATGGAGTCACACTCCTAGCCAGATGTTAATATAGAAAGATTTCTAAAGTATCATTACTATAAAATGAAGCAACTTTTTAACTGAGGTGGTAGCTTAAATGCAGTTAATTTACTCACGGCACATCACTACCCTATATGGTCACTACTCAGAAGTTAAAGCATGATTTGCAGCAGGTCGGGTTACATATTTAACAGTCATATCATTTAATAATACATGCACAGTTCTGGTGGAGAGAACTTATTTTACTAAAACACCAGGAATTTTAATGTCATTTTAACACCATAACCAAGTGGCATTGCAAATTGTTAAAATGAAATCCTGTTAACTTTTGTCTTTTTAATATACCACTGAGTAAAACATTAACTCTTGCATCTCAACTTCAATGTCGGCTTTAGGTTTCTATTTTTTCTCAGTTCTGCCAGACACATGCAGTCCTTCCCACTCCGTTTTCTTGGAGAAATGGTGATTTAAAAAGGAGATCATGGGCCTAAACAGTATTTCATTGAAAGGGAATTCTTTTTAAGAATTTTTATTTACTTGATTCCCTTTTCAAAATAACCTGACACAGAAAATTGTGGCTATTAGCACTTTTGAAGGTGAGCATTGAGACAGGATTATAAGTTATGTGAAGGAAATGGCATTGATTACACTCAGTCTTCCTGTCCTAAAGCATAGTGGGTGTTTGTATTTGTTCAAATCGTGACGCCTTCAACATGAGGATTCTGAACAGTAACGTGAAGCCCATCCCAGCTTTGTGGATTGAAATGTTGCTGAGTGGTATGCCTGTATGTCTACATGTATCGAAGTTATCCTCTTGTTTTATTCTATTCCTTTTCGAACATTCTTTCCTAGTCCTGAAGTATTCTTTCCTGTGCTTGTGCAGCTTTGTGACAAGAGGGCCAAGGAACTAACTGAGACCAAACTAAGGAGGACTAAACCCTTCCAGGGGTGACTAGGCACAGCCAGAAAGGATGACTGACGGTCAGGCACTGTAGCTGGGCCGTCTGCACAGTGGTCTGTGATTCTGTGTCCTACGCGTGCATTCAGCCATCCCTCTAGTGATTCAGTTTGCTGCTTGCTATTTACTACCATCAGCAAAATTATAATTAACAGCCTGCTAATTGGCCCTTACATATCCGAGATTTTTATTTCTGGGGTAGGGAAAATAGGCAAAAGGGAAGCTAGGTCAAAAAATACATGCTGTGTGTAAGTTGCAAGAGAGGCTGCCATTGAATTATCAACATGACAGGTTTCTTCTATGCCTACAATAAACATACTAAAATTCATGCTTGTCTGATGAGTATAAACCTCACCTGTTCCTAGACATGCTTCTTTGTATATTTTCACATCATTTTCTTATAGAATTATCTTTTTGTCAATGTTGAAGACCTGTTAAGTATGTTAGAGCGTAGAAGTTTGTCATACAATCCTTTTTTTGTACAAAATTTGTTAAATTGTCTATGTAACCAAATATATTGAAATTTTTCTGAGTTTATAGATTAAGATTTTCATCTGCATTGTATTTGTTATTAGGTTTTCTTGCATGTTGCTTATTTCCTTATTCAATATGTAAATATTTAATCCATCTAGACCTTAATGTCATATGGTAGGAATTTGTTATTTTCTTCAAGATGGGTTTCTGGTTGTACAAATGATTTGTTCTTCTGTTCAGCAGCTCTGATACCATCTTTCTGTACACCAGCAGCAATCACATGTTTGAAATGGTAATAAAAAAGAAAAACAGGTTTTAGTCTGGCATTGTTTATTAGCCTTGTTCTGACAGGAAAATGCTGCCATCGGTCTTGGAACTGTTGGAGCAATCACTGATGCCTTGTCCTGTGCAAGGGAGCAGAGGTTAGAAAAGTGTGGCTCACCTCAGCACTGGGCAGCACTAACACTCATTTTTTTTAAGATTTATTTATTTATGCATACAGAACTGGGGTACAAGCCAGAGGTGCAGGGGTGGTGAAAGGCTTCACCAGAGACAGAGCTAACGTTCATTTTTGAAAAATTTATTTCTTTATGCATACAAAACTGGGGTACAGGCCAGAGGCACAAGGGCAATGAGAGGATTCACCAGAGACAGAGTGGGGAGCAGACTCATGAAGTACCCTGCAGAGGGGAGCAGCGGGGACACAGCAGAGGTCTGCTGGGCCATGTGGGTCAGCTCTGGGGCTGGGATTGAACTAGTACTGAAGTGGCTGCAGCCACCTTGCAGTGCTGTATCCTAATCTGTTGTGCCACCAGGGAGGGCCCTGTTTTTTTAAAGATTTTTTTATGCATACAGAACTACAGACCAGAGGTGCAGGGGCAGTGAGAGGATTCACCAGAGACAGTGGGGAGCTGAACAGACAGATCAACGAAGTACTTTGCTGAGGGGAGCAGCTGTGGAGTGGGGGTGGGGGGAGGAGAGGTCTTCTGCACCATGTGGGTCAGCTCCGGGGCAGGGATTGAACTGGTGCTAAAGTGGCTGTGTCTAGATCCTGTAGTGCTGCGCTTTAATCTGTTGCACCAGCAGGGAGGGCCCCAGCACTAACATTCTTATCCAGGATATTTAACAGTGATCTGCTAGGTGCTCCTCTGTCACATGGAACACAGTTATAAGATGGACACCCATTTAAGCAAAAGGAAAGCCACGGCCCTGCTTTCCCATGACTTAGTCATAAAGGCTGTTGATGCCTGCATGTCAGTTCCCACCTTTCCCAGTCCAGGAATAGGCTGCAGACAAGTGGTACTGCACAGGGACAGCGTCTTTCTTAAAAGAAACTGGCGGCCCTCCCTGGTGGCGCAGCGGGTTAAAGCACAGCACTGAGAATCTAAAGCCGCTTCCGCATGAGTTCAATTCCCGCCTGCCCCGGAGGGGACCACATGGCGTGGCAGACCTCTCCTGACCCGCCCGCTGCTCCCCTCAGCAGTGTACTTCGTCGATCTGCCTGTTCTGTTCCCCACTCTGTCTCTGGTGAAGCCTCTCGCCGCTCCTGAGCCTCTGGTCTGTACCCCAGTTCTGTATGCACAAATAAATAAATCTTTAAAAAAAAAAAAAAAAAAGAAACTGGCAAAAGCTCAGTGTAAAGTCATCTTTCCCGATGGGCCAGTGGGAAAGGTCTGTTAATCATGGATTGACATTACCCTGTTCGACAGAAATTTTGCTATGTAATCTTTAAACCAAATGACCTTTTCTTTCCTCATTCAACTGAAACTACCTTGTATTTTTCATATATACTAAGACCTATTTTTTTTTTGTTTCACTAGTCATTTTTTTCTATTTCTACACTAAGCCATATTAATTGTTAACGTTAACAGAACTTCACTGTATTAATACTACACAATACAGCAAGACCTTGTTTTTCACGGTTTTGTTGGCTAATCTCGGTGCATTTCCTTTCTATATTAATGAAGATTTCTCAGATTACAAAAAATTCCAGTTATTCTAACTGGAATTGCCCTGAAACATAGCAAGCCTTTGCCTTTGTACAAATTGTCCTTCAACATGAGAATTCTGAATAGAGTAATTTGAAGCACCTTCCCGTGTAGTAACATTACATTTGAGAAAGCTTTGTAAATGGGTGAATAAGAAAAATTCCTGTTAATGGGCTGAAAACATATTCCCCCAAAGTTCATATGTTGAAGCACTAATATCCAGTGTGATGGTGTTTGGAGATGGGGCCTTCCCAAGGTAACTAGGTCACAATTAAGTCATAAGAGTCAGACATTCAGGATGGGAGTAGGGCCCTTTTAAGAAGAGGAAGAAAGTGATCTCTATGCATAAGTCTGAACCAAGGGAAGGCATTGTGATACACAGTGAACAGGCAGCTGTGTGTGAGGAAGTGGGCCTTCTTCTGGGGCCACTCTGATCTCTGCACTTCTAGCCTCCAGAACTGTGAGAAAGAAATACAGTATTTGTGTAACCCAGTCTACAGTGTTTGGTACTACAAGTTAAAAGGATCCTTTTCCTGCTTATTTGTATCCCAGTCAGTTACGTCTGCTCCCAGTAGATAGTAAAACAAAGACATTTTCATCAGGAGAGCATAATCCCAACTCTGTTAAGAAACCCTGGGATTTTGGGCAATTTATAAGACTTTCCAAGTCCCCAGTTTCTTCATTTTAAAATAGGAATTGGTGGGGGCCCTCCCTGGTGGCGCAAGGGGTTAGGATGCAGCACTGCCAGCTAGCCATAGCTGCTTCAGTGTGAATTCGATCCCCCACCCTGGAGGTGACCCACATGGTGCCTCCTGACCCACCCACTGCTCCCCTCAGCAGTGTACCTCATCCATCTACCTGTTCTACTCCCCACTCTGTCTCTGGTAAAGGCTCTCACAGCTCCTGCACCTCTGGCTTGTACCCCAGTTCTGTATGAATAAATAAATACATCTTTAAAAAAAAAAAAGGAATTGGTGGAACAGGCAGTTAAGTGGAAAGTATAGTTCTTGGAAGTGACATCACTAAAATACTGAATTGAGAATTCTTACCACACAGAGAAAAATAAAAAAAGCTTTCTGACCTATTTTGTAGTACCTTTGGAAACAGGTTTATGGAAACAAATATATGTCTAATCTATAAAAGCCATCTTCATAATGTTAGTATGTGGCATTTCACAGTTGCTCTATCCTTTGCTGCTATAGCAGTGATTTTCTCAAGAAGGTAGCGATCCAGTTTCCCCAGGAAACTGCAGGAGCAAAATAGGCCATGTTTGCTAACTGCTGTGAACCTCTGTTCTAACCTGTTTTGGTACTTAAATAACTAGTGTAAGGTACACTCACAATTTAGAATGCTGGAACACAGGAATTGCTCATAAAAGCTACAGGGTCGACTACAGAACCAAAATACCAGGGCAAGAGACTACAGGTGGAGAAATAATAGGTAAGTTCATCAGTGGTTTAACAACCAGAAACCAGCTGCTTAACTGTCAAAAGTCCCATCAGGCCCTTGGTGGTGGTGTAAAGGGTTATGGTGCATGGGCTTAGAGCACAGTGCTGCCCACAGCCACTGCAGCATGGGGAGTTTAATCTCGGGCCAGGGAGGTGACCCACATGGCAAAGCATATCTCTCCTGTCTCACCCACTGCTCCCCTCAGCAGTGTCTTTCAGTCATTCCATATGTTCTGCTCCCCATTCTTTTATCTGCACCTCTGCATCCCCTGCACCTCTGGCCTATACCCAGTTTTTGTATGCATAAATAAATAAGTCCTAAAAAAATGTCCATTAGTTTAACTGGTCAAAAGCGCCAGCAATTTTTAAGAATTAATGAGGGATTAATATCCAGAATAAGGAACTTCCAAATCAGTAACAGTAAACAATTAAAAAATGTACAAAGGGGCCCTCCCTGGTGGCACAGCTGGTTAAAGCACAGCACTAAGAAGCTAAAGCCACTTCAGCATGAGTTCGATCCCTGCCCCAGAGCTGATCCACATGGTGTGGCAGACCTTTCCTGACCTGCCCGCTGCTCCCCTCAGCAGTGTACTTTGTCAGTCTTCCTGTTCTGCTCCCCGCTCTGTCTCTGGTGAATCCCCTCACAGCCCTGCACCTCTGGCCTGTACCCCAGTTCTGTGTGAATAAATAAATCTTAAAAATAAAATGTACAAAGGACTTGAATACACTTTCCCAAAAATAGATAGTCAGAGGTGTCCTCACATTACTAGTCATTAAGGAAATGGAAATGTCATACCACTTCACATCCCTGAGGATGCTATTAAAAAATAATAGAAGAAAATACTAAGTACTGGCAAAGAAATGGAGAAATCAGAAATCATATGCCTTGCCGGTTGGAATGAAAAGTGGTTCAGTACTGTTCGAAACAATATGGCAGTTCCTCACAAAATCAAACACTGAATTACATATGATGGAGTACTTCCACCACTGGGTTTACAAAGTAGCTGAAAAGCAGAGTTTTAAGAAGAGATTTGTACACTCATGTTGTTAGCATCATTAGTCACCACAGCCAAAAGGTGGAACCAATCTGAATAACCTTCAACAGGAAAACGAGTAAACAAAATGGATAATCTAGACAGTTGAATGAAATACTCAGCTTTCAAAAGGAATGCCATTCTACAGAACAAAGGAACCATGGAAATATTGGATAAGTTGAATAAAATCACCTTATATGTTAATGACACAAATTTTAGTTATTTGTGCAAACTATTTCCCTTTCATATACAAAAAGTATAAGAAGGTTTTTTGCTTTTACCATCTTTGTTTTTAGTGGCTTAAACAAAAGTTTAATTTCATAAAGGCGTCTGAAGCACAAATAACTCTTACACCTGAAATTAATAAGATACTATGTCATTTATACTTGGATGAAAGAAAAAGAACCTCTAGATAGGCCCTTATTGGAAGGATAGCCTACAGTGAACCCCACAGCCAGTCCTGTGTTTCCCCTTCAAACTAAATCTAGAATTGAAAGTTTCTACCTTCACCCCTTCCACCTGTGAGCAGTCCATCATCGCTCACAACATTTAGCGAAAGCATGTTAAAAGTAACTGTAGTAAAATACTTAAGAGATAGCATATTTGCAGTTAGAAGTAACTTATTTTTGTACCTAACAAAATCCACCTAGCCTGAGGGTAAATAGAGGGAAATCGTCAGTTGATCGGAATGAATATCCTTCTTGAGGAAAATTTAAACTTACACCATTGATCTAAGCTATTTCTTTTTCTATAGAAAATGTGTAACCCTGCCTAATTCACTTCTCTATCTGCAAAGGTCAACAAGAGCTAAATTTATTTCTTAGGCCAAGACTTCACTATCAGTTTCATAGTTTTACATAAAAGTCAAACTTTAAATCATTTATCAATTCAATTATGTAATCTGTCTCCTGTCAAATATCCAGAATTCAATAAAACCATGATGCTCCAGGAACATATATTCTTCTTAACTGTTTTACTGATAAGGACTTGCGAAGATACAATTCCAGTCTTAGATAAAGTGATAAGCCTTATTATAGCTTATCACTTATACACACACGCCCATACACAAAATCCTAGTCAGTGTGTCCCTCACTAAGAGTTAACACTTTAAATCACTGTCATTACTTGCTCTCTGCAGTCAGTCTCACCGGTCCCTCTTTCTACTCAGGCAATGCCTGCGACACAGAAGCTGATGGCATAAAATAATACCAGCAGTTTAGGAAACTCTTCTTTGGGTCTGTCAACACGGATTCAAGTTTAGCGACTCCCCTAGAGTCCGCTACCACGCAGATTCCTGTTTTGTTCGGGTTCCCTAACTAGCCCCGAGACTCAAAAACTCAAACCCCACAGTTTCCCTTCCCTGTAAAACCCAAAGCCAAACTCAAGCCTGAACAAAGGCAGAGACACCTTGGGTCTGTCGTTCTCCCAGAATTCCGGACGGTGCTGCCAGGCGCAGGCTGTAAAGAAGGCAAAGATGAATTTCAAACGTCCAGCGCCCACTCTCTCGGTGCCGAACTACATTTCCCAGCAGGCTGCGCGGCGCGGATTATCTTCCCTGGCAAACTCGCGCTCATCTTCCTGAGCCCGTCCAACTCCTGGACCGCCTAGGGCGGGCCCAAGAAGGGATCGCGCGTCAAACGCGTCCCGGTGGCTTTCCTCGGGAACCGCTGCCCGCGGCTGAGCCTGACTCTGTGAGGCCTGCATCGCGCGGTTCCTAAGGAGGGTGCAGGCCCGAGGGGACCTCCGAGGCTCGGGAGCCACCTCGTCCCACCACAGGTACGTTTCTGACTACATTTCCCGAAGCCCCCTCGGCTTTTCGTGGTCTCGCGTGATTTCGGGCTCAAAGTCACGCGCTGGCGGGACCCTCATTCTGCACCGGCAACTGTCCCGGGGCTGTGGAAGAGGTTGCTTTGGAAGCTCCGACGCCTGAGGTGAGGAAGCTGAGCACAGGACGGGGCCGGAGCCTTTGTGTAGCAGGAGAGGTGAGATTGCAGTTGTGTGTGTGCGTGTGTGTGTGTGTGTGCTGGTGTGTGGTGAGCGACCCCGTGGTAGTGATTGGCTGTGCCTGTGGTGAGCGTGTTTCCGCTGATTACCGGGTGCAGCGCCGTTGGGGAGCCAGTGACTGGACGCCCCCAGCGGGGTGTGCGTGCTTGTGTGTGTGAGGTGTGTTGTGTGTGAGATTGGGACCAGTGGGGTATTGTGTATGGGTGTCCTGCTGGTGCGATTGCATCGCCCTGGGCTACAGAGTACAGGTGGGGTACCTGTGAGTGCCTGGGGTTGATCTGAGGTTCCTGATGGAAACTTAGAGAAGAAAATTCAGGATGAAAGCCACACAGGCCAGAACAGGAGCTGGGATGGGAATGGAGAGCTAGTTGTTAAACCTGCAGTGGAAGAGAACTGTGGGTCATCATCACAAAGAAACACCAGGCCTCCCAGGTGAACAGGACCGGACCTTGGCAGTGATAGATTCCACAGTAGCTGAAATTCCAGAAAGGAATGAATCCCAAAGAATACTATGAAGAGCAACTTCTGCTTTGGCAAAACTCACGTCTTGTCTTAAGGCTGAGCTTCCCGCCCGTGCAAGTTTGTCTTCCATCCTTTTTCCTAATAAATCCGCCCTTTTAAAATGCAGCCTTTGGGCCCTCCCTGGTGGCACAGGGGGTTAAATCTCAGCGAGATGAAGCTATCACCAGCTACTGCAGCTCCCAGCAGGGCCCAGAGCTGACCCAGAGCTGACCCACAGGGCACAGCAGACCTCTCCTGTCTCCTGGCTGCTCCCCCCCAAGAGTGTTTCAGTAAATCCGCCTGTTCTGCTCCCCACTCTGTCTCTGGTGAACCCTTTCACCCTGGACCTCTGGCCTGCACCCCAATTCTTTTATGCATAGATAAAATAAATCTTTTCTAAAATTCCTTATGAAAACCAGTAAATGTATACTGATAAAAGACCCTTGACTAATTTACAGGCCTAATTTAAGTTTTGCTTGTCTGATCAGTGCCCTCTTCTGTTCCAGGTCCCAGTCTAAGATCATCTACACTGATTTTGTTGCCTTCTTACTGGACTCCCATCTGGCATATTTCTTCAGTCCTTTTTACTGTCCAGTTATTTTGTAATCAGTGTCTTTCAATTTAGATTTGTTCTGGTTAAATTAAAACTATGCATTTTTGGAACAAAAATCACAGACCATGTTTTGTTCTCAGTGTATCACATCAGGAGTTATGTGGCATTGGTATAGCTAGTAATGTAAACTTTGGTTACTTGGTTAAGATGGTGGCTGCCAAGTTTCTCTTTTATAACATTTCTATTCTTACCTTTTTAAATATCCTGTGGGAGCCCATGCTTTGCACTTATGCAAATAATGCTTTTTCTCATATCTTCATCCATTCATTTCTAAAATCCATTGATGATCTTGTCTACAACAGTGACTTCTGTGTTGTTTACTGAGTGGTGATTTTCTCTTTTCATCATTTTTGTACATTGACTAATTGAAATTCTACTGTGCAAACAAGCTGTCCCTGTTCCTTAATTATTATGAACTCAGTTGGGATCCAATCCATATGTTAAGTGAAACTAACAGCATGTCTAATGGTGTGTATACTATGCTTCCATTTGTGTGAGAGAAAACACACACACATAACACACACACCCCTTATGTCTTTGTGTATGTGTGTTTCTATACAAACTGCATTCTCCAGGCCATCTCAGGTTGTTCAGATTGATCCTGTTCCTGTGAAACCTTGAGGTTTCTAGATTTGGGGATAACCAGAGATTTATTCCTTCTCATTAATATCTCTGAAGTGTTTGTGTGGGTTGAATAAGGGAATGTGGTCATTCTGGAGCCTGTGATGCAAATGGATTTGATGTAACTTCTTTTGCCTCCCCAGCTTAAGAGAGCAGCCCCAAAGAGGACTGGACTTTTTGTGCAAATACCAAAGTCATGGCTCAGGTGAGATGCTTTCCTTTTGCACCAATAGAATAAGTTTTACCCCTAGCACAGATGTTTACCTGCTCTCTCCATCATCATGATTTTGGTTTTTTTTTTGTTTTGTTTTATAGCTTCAGGCAGTTGAATTAGAAGCAGTGCCAAAGTTCTCTTACCCTAAAAAAAAATCTCTCATAAGCCAAAAGTTTCTCTCTTGCTGGAAATATTTACAGAGAAAAAGAAGTGGTTAGATGATCATTATTGGAAAGAAAGCAACAATGTCTGACTAAAGATCTTAACATCCTTAACTTAAAGATAGCCATTAGTGGTTAGATAACAGATTTCTTTGAAGAGGTTTTATCCTCTTAAAATTCATCAGAAGGGCTCTCCCTCGTGGTGTGGTGGGTTGAAGCACTGCATTATGAAGCTCTCCGAAGCCACTGCAGCGCAAGTTCATCCCAGCCAGGGAGGTGACCCACATGGCGCAGCAGACCTCTCCTGACCTGCCCGCTGCTCCCCTCAGCAGAGTACTTTGTCAGTCTGCTTGTTCTGCTCTCCACTCTGTCTCTGGTGAATCCTGTCACCACTCCTGCACCTCTGTCCTGTGCCCCAGTTCTGTATACATAAATAAATAAATCTTAAAAAAAAAAAATACTTGTTTAAAAAAAACATCAGAAATTGCTTATGAGTTTCATCAAGAATCCTTATTTGTTGCAGCAAAAATACTTTGAATTATATAATGTAAAAATAGTTTGACTGAGACTAGTTTTGGAAAAAATTTTACAATGATTAGCAGAATCTCCTTTCATACCTTGACACTCCCATCTGCCAATTTCTCCTTCACAATCTAGTGCACTTCCCAATTCCTTCTTCCTGTAAACATTGTTTGCAGACTCATTTAATAAGCCTTTCAGCATCTGCCACTTCAGACTTCTGGGAGAAATCCTGAGAGAATGGGATGTGTTTCCCAGTTGTTAATTAACCTGATTAGCTGGGATGGTGATTTGATGCACTAAAGATAAATAATTAGGGCCACCTCATAGGAAAAAGCCCTGATTAGCTCCACAGAACTAGGTTTGCCAGTAAGAAAATATGTGGAATAATTTTACTTGATTTTTGTCTTAAAATATGAAAAGATCTCCTCGTGCATGAACCAAAGGGTCTTGGGGAGATGCCAGATGGTAGGCTCAAAGCTCTGACACCTCCAGCTCTTCTATGACAGATAGTTTTTAGCAATGCCGTTGTGTGACTCTGGACTCTCCTCCATCACTTTTCCTGTAAGTTAGGACCAAAGGAAATTTGTAGTTTGTTTCCATATACTAGTGTATTTTGTGAAAAATTAATGCTTGTGGGAAAAAATGTAATAAGCAGTAACTATGATATAACATTGCATGACAGAAAATGGGTCCACCTTTATTATATGCAGATTTAATTTTCTCAGATAAAATATTTTTAAAAGTAATTTTACGGGACCTCCCTGGTAGCCTAGGGGTTCAGTCTTAGCTCTGTCACACCATTACCTCTGTGAATTGAGTTTCACTCCCCAGTCAGGGAGCTGACATAGCATAGCAGACCTCTCCTATCTCGCCCGCTGCTCCCCTCAGCAGTGTATTTCAATAGACCTGCCTGTTCTGTTCCCCACTCTGCCTCTGGGGAATCCTCTTACCCGCCCCCTGTATTTCTGGCCTCAACCCCAGATCTTCTAAGAAAAAATATTGTGCTTGGGTCTTTTTATGTTTAGGAATATCTTTTTAATACAATGGTAGTTTGGTTATTGAATTGTAGGTTATAATTTCTTTTCCACCATAGCATATCACTTCTTGAGTGGTGTTCTTGAGAACTCATTTCTTTTCTGATTCGCGATGTCTTTTATGTGATCTACTCTCCTTTAGATGCTTTTAATTACTTCTCGATATCACTTATTTTGGAATTTTTTTCTTAGGTATTTGGGAAGAGGGAGGGGAGGGGCTCACATATGTTGATGACTTGTGGTATAACAAGTGTTTGTGCTAGGAGTTTGTATATACAATTTCATTTAATTGGGAACTCCATGCAACTGGTTTTGTACCTACCCAGATTTGTTTGAACAATGGAAGCGCCCCAATGAACACTGGCTGTTCTGTCTGGAGGAACCAGAATGACAGTGAAGCACAGTAATCCAGGCCTGCTCACTTGTTTATGCCCTTGCCCTCGGCTTTGCTTTTCTTACTCCTTTACCTTGATTTTTCTTTAAGATTTTATTTATTTCTGCATAGAGGTACTGGGCTGCAGAGGTGGGAAGGGTGAGAGGACTCACCAGAGACAGAGTGGGGAGCAGGACAGGCCGACCCACTACAATATGCTGCTGAGGGGAGACAGGAGAGGTCTGCTGTGCCCTGTGGTCAGCTCCCTGGTGGGGATTGAACTGCAGTGGTGAAACCATGAGCCTTAAGCCTAGGCCACCACGGAGGCCTTACCCTGGTTTTCTCCCCCTCTTTCTGCCCTTCACAAAACCACTTCTTTTTATTAATCAATTCACAACCTGATTGTTGTTTTAGGAGTCATTGATGTTCAGCGATGTGTCCATATACTTCTCTCAGGAGGAGTGGGAGTGCCTGAATCATGACCAGAGAGATTTGTACAGGGATGTGATGCTGGAGAATTACAGCAACCTGGTTTCAATGGGTAAGGACATCTGTCCGTCGTAATTCAGATTCTGCCCTCAGAAAATCTACTCCTCAAGTCTGAAATGCTCACATACTCTTCAAGTACCAGTTGGAATTCTACATCCTGTTCCTAGAGGAATGTTTTCAACATTGTAGGGTTACAGGAAGAAGCTGCATTACGTTTTACAGGGGAAGTTTCAAGTCCGCTGTTGTTTCAGAAATCTAATATACTGACTCTTTTTAAGGAAGGGACTAGATTTGATGTCTGGGACTTTTTTATCAAAACTTTCATCTCGTTACTTCTTTTGTAAGCAGGATGTTCTGTTTCTAAGCCAGATGTGATCTCCTTCCTGGAGCAGGGGAAGATGCCCTGGTTGGTTGACAGATCACTAACAAGAGACCCGTGGCGAGGTAAGTGAGGCACAGCAGGAGTAACGACCCAGTCGATCAGGGAGGCACTGTTGGGGAACCTCCCTTCAAAAGCGTAAGGCCTTTTGTGCAAGAATACATCTTTTTTTTTTACAAAAGTTTATTTTTACATCATTTTGTATATATATATATTTTTTCCATCTCCATTGTAATCCCCGCGGGTTTCCCATCACCAAGTCACCCGTGTGCCATCGCCATAATCCCGTGCATTTCCCTCCCCACCCCCCCATTTTTGATCCCATTCCCCACTCCACCCCCGCAAAATGTCTCTGGTATATGGTTGTTCATTATTTTTGTTATTTTCTCGCCTGGAGAATACATCTTTTCAGCATGAACTTTTAAATGACCTTACCTTTCCCCTTAATCAACATGCTTTGCCTGCTTTTCTCCTCTTATACTTCTCTCCCAATTCTAACCAGAGAGATTAGGGATCATTTTGGGGTTTTGTTTTGCCTGCTTTTCATTCCCAATCCTCCAGGCAGTCTTGCAGCAGCAGCAACAGCAGTGGATGTGGTCCTGAAGTATTTAAAACTGGCAGGGAGGGGAACTTTCCTCTCCAGCAGAGTGAATTTCCATTTCCTATTTTGTTTTCCCTGATGTCTTCCTGCCAAACATAGGAACAGTTGCAGAAAACATAAAACGAGGAAAAGTAACTAAAGCAGAAAAAAAAAAAAAGGTAACTAAAGCCCTAGCTTTCTGACTGGAAGATTAGGGCAGCCCCAGGGAACCAGGAAATGTCAAGAAAATCACAATGGCGTGAGCTCAGAAAAGTAAGTGTTCATAAAATTATTTATGAACTCCTGAGCTCACCCTCAACCTGTACATCGGAGCTCTGTCCCTTAATAGCATAGCAAAGACTTTGAGAATTGAAAATCTAACACTTCAAATTCTAGACTGGCTAGAACTGGGGGGTATGACACAGGCCAGATCCAGGTAACACAAAAATTTTGCAAACTGAAATGTCATTACAATCACAGAAGGCTGTTTAGAGCTTAAACTTGAACAGGATGGAGGCGATATCTGTTAAAACAGATGTCAGGATTCAGTCCAAAATCACTCAGTATCTGAAGAACAAAGACCATGTCAACTTCTATGGAGCAAGGTCATCAACCATTATCAAAATCAAGATAGTTGTAACGATTCTAAAGCAGCTTGAACAAGCAGTCATATGGACTCTGGAAACTAATGGAAAGATAGAAAGTCCTAGCAAAAAAAATGAAACTAGAAGATATGAAGAAGAAACATGCAAATTTCAGAACTGAAAAATATAATAGCCAAAGTAAAGAAACTCACTGGATAGTCTCAGTAAGAGAATGAAGGTAACAGGAATGTTAGTAAACTTGAAGATTCAGCAAAAGCAGTTAGCCAATATAAACACAGAGACAACAAATATGGAGAACTTAAAAAACATATACCTTCAGGGACATACCAGTCAACAGCAGAACTGTCAGCCCAGACTTTTATGTCCCTTCATGAATAAAATTACGATTATAAAAGCAATATTGCCAGTGTGCTTACCAGATAAGACTCTCCCCTAAGCGTCCCTCTGGGACTCGGCAGCAGTGGGAACGGGGCTCATGAGACAGTCTCTGTCTCCTCTCAGAGCTGTAAACACTTGTCAGGTCCAGGGGACAGCTGTCACGAGAGGCAAACCCACTACTGCCACATAGTCTGATCTTTAAGGAAGCCCCACAGCCTAATTTCTGAATTTAATCTCCTGACGTCCCAGGCAGGTACTAATTCAAACCTCAGGTAACTGGGAGATAGCACCAAACACTGAAAGGTGAACAGGATACCCTTGACTCATCAGGTTATTATTTCGGAGAGTTTCTCTTTTCCCTTGATCCTTAGAAATCATACCAAGATATATCCAAGTTAAGTTTCTTTCCCTTATAAATTTTGCCCTGTAGAAAAACAGCTGCTTACTGACTTTCTACAACCTGGAAATTTGTTGTTTTGTTAGTTCTCCTTCTGGAACTCATATTTTGCATTTATTTTATTTTCTGTTTCGTATTCCTTCTGCATGACTTTGTCACCAGTTTTTGGTCACCATTCTTATCCTTCCCCTTCTGAAAATGTTTTCTCAAGAATTAATTTAATTTTAGTAGCAATTGAGTTTACACCGTGAAATTTGAAGATTTATCTTCTTTTACTTCCTCTTTTCTTAGCTTACAGAAATAATTACAATTCTTACATTATTATTCAGTTCCCTTAAGTATGTAGGTGTCTTTCATTGCTAAGCTTTTTAATCACATACTTGAAATGACTTTTACTTTCCCTTGCAGTTAAGACTTCTTAATTGAAACTTGATTATTTTCTGTGTATCTGCCACTAATTTGCTCTTTTCATTCACATCAGGTAGCAGGTTTGTTTGGTTTTTAACTGACACATCCTTTCTATAACCCTCTGTCCTGCCCTGACTGGTTCTATTACATAGCTGTCATCTTAGAAATTCCCTATTGTCATTATATGGATCCCTAAGAATTACCCCATTAGTTTTCTTTACTGCTATCCCTTCTTGGCCTTTTGGCTAAGGTCAAATGTAGTGTAGTTTCCTTTACTGCGGTCCTTTGAATTCCTTTTGAGTCTCCCTCTATTTCTTTTTTTTAAGATTTATTTATGCATGCATGCAAGAATTAGGGTAAAGGTCAGAGGTGCAGAGGCAGTAAGAGGAATCACCAGTCAGTGGGAGGCCGAGCAGGAGATAGACTGAAATACACTGCTGAGGGGAGCAGTAGGCAAGATAGGAGAGGTCTGCTGCTCCATGTGGGTCAGCTCCCTGGCTGGGAATCGAACTTGTGTTACAGTGGCTGCAGATGGTTTCATAGTGCTGCACTTTAACCCCTTGTGCCATGAGGGAGGCCCCCAGCCTCCCTGTATTTTGATGCCTTGAACACGTTTATATGCCCTCACCTTTGGATCTCTTGTCCTCATTATTCTGAAGCAGGTCTTCCATAAACATCTGAAGAAAACGTGCAAGAGAAGTCAATAGGAAGTTTATTTTGTGTGCCTTTATATGTCTGAAAATGTTTTCATTTCATCCCCATATTTGATTTATAATCTGGCTAGAGATACAGTTGTAAGTTGAAAAACAATTTATCTTTTAGGCCCTCCTTGGTGGTGCAACAGGTTAGGATGCAGCACTGCAAGCTAGCTGTAGCTGCTTCACTGTGAGTTCAGTCCCTACCCTGAGGTGACCCACATGGCGTGGCAGACCTCTCCTGACCCGCCCGCTGCTCCCCTCAGCAGCGTACTTTGTCAGTCAGCCTGTTCTGCTCCCCACTCTGTCTCTGGGGAATCCTCTCACAGCCCCTGCACCTCAGGCCTATACCCCAGTTCTGTGTGCATAAATAAGTAAATTTAAAAAAAAAAAAAAGAAAAACCATTTATCTTTAGATTTTTGGAGGGGGGCCTTTTTCTTTTTTTGTTTATTTTTTATATCATTCTTCATTTTGTGCATTTTTCTATCTCAGTTATAATCCCTGTGGGCTTCCCACCACCAATTCACCCATGTGCCATCACCGTAGTCCTCTGCACTCTTCCCACCTCAGCCTTACTCCCATTCCCTTCTCCACCCCTGTAAAATGTCTCTGGCTTATAGTTGGTCATTGTTTACATTTTTACTTTATTACAATTGCGTTTTTTACCCCTGATCCCTTACGCTCCTGCTGTAAGTGAAACTATCTGGTATTTTTCCTTTTCTTTCTGGCTTATTTCACTAAGCATGATCCCTTCTAGTTGCTGCAAAAGGCATGAGTTTATCTTTTTGATTGCTGAGTAATAATCCATTGTGTATATGTACCACATCTTTTTAATCCAGTCATCTATTTTTGGGCATATGGGCTGATTCCACGTCTTCCCTATAGAGCAGCAAAAAACATGGGGGTGCAGGTGTCCTTTTGAATCTGCCTTTAAAATTTTAAAGGTATTGCTCCAGGGATTTCCAAAATTTTACAGCATCTGATGTAATGAGAAGGCCAGACCCATTCAGATTCTTAATTTTATGTGGAACACTTAACCTCACTAGAAGCTTTTACAATTTGCTCTTTACTTCCAATGTAATGTTTCATGTTGAGGTACCTTGACGTTGATTGAATTTTTTTCATATAGCTTGGTATTTACAAGAACCTTTCATTGTGGAAACTTAGTCTCTAGAAATTTTTTGTCTTTTTCCCTTGGGCACAATGTTTTCTCCATTCTCTGTATTTCATACTTTGTTCACTTTTTATATCCCAGTATAATTTTTCTTTTTGTGTATGTAGAACTGGAATGTAAGCTAGAAATGTGGAGGGGTGAGAGGATTTACCAGAGACAGAATGGGGAACAGACTGAAATACAGTGCTGAGGAGAGCAGTGGATAAGACATGAGAGGTCTGCTGCACTGTATGTGGATCAACTCCCTAGCTGGGGATCGAACTCAACACCATATTTTCCCATTTTAACTGAAGTTTCATTTCTTCCAAACAAGAAAAGTATGAGTGACTGCTTTCATATTTTCTTTTCAGTCCTGGAATCAAGATGTGAGACAAAGAACTTATTCCTGAAGAAGGAAATTTATGAAATACAATCAGCACAGTGGGAGATAGTGGAAAGACTTACAAGACAAGACCTTCAGTGCCCTGGTTTCAGAGGTGACTGGGAACGGAATGGGCACTTTGAGAAACGACATGACTCGCAGGAGGGACGTTTCAGTGAATTGGCATTCACCCATGAAGACATGCCCACTTTCAGTCAGCATCCATCCTTTACATTACAGCAAATTATTAATAGTAAAGAGAAATACTGTACAACTAAGGAATACAGGAAAACCTTTAGACAAGACTCTCAGCTTAGTACACATCAGATAATTCACACCACTGAGAAACCCTATGAATGTAAAGAATGTGGAAAGGCCTTTAGACATCCCTCAAGACTCAGTCATCATCAGAAAATTCATACTGGCAAGAAACCCTTTGAATGTAAAGAATGTGGAAAAACCTTTATTTGTGGCTCAGACCTTACTCGACATCATAGAATTCACACTGGTGAGAAGCCCTATGAATGTAAGGAATGTGGAAAGGCCTTTAGTAGTGGTTCAAACTTCACTCGACACCAGAGAATTCACACGGGTGAGAAGCCCTATGAGTGTAAGGAGTGTGGAAAGGCCTTCAGTAGTGGCTCAAATTTTACTCAGCATCAAAGAATTCATACTGGGGAGAAACCCTATGAATGTAAAGAGTGTGGTAATGCCTTTAGTCAGAGTTCACAGCTTATTAAGCATCAGAGAATCCATACAGGTGAGAAGCCCTATGAATGTAAGGAATGTGAAAAAGCTTTTCGTTCTGGTTCAGATCTTACTCGACATCAGAGAATTCATACTGGTGAGAAGCCCTATGAATGTAAGATTTGTGGGAAGGCCTATTCTCAGAGTTCACAACTTATTAGTCATCATAGAATTCATGCGGTTGAGAAACCTTATGAATATAGGAAATGTGGAAAAACATTTAACTACGGATCTCAACTTATTCAGCATCAAAATTTGTACTGGTAATAAACCATAGAATATATGAAATGTGTGGGAAGGCTTTTAATTGCATTTCAAAACTACTTGACCTCATAGGCTTAATCTTGATGATAATCCTCCTAATGGAATAACGTAGAAGCATCTTATTAGTCAACCTGAGAAAAATCAGGTAGTAAGACACCCATGAATAGAATACATTCTGGAAACCCTTTTATAAAAGGCTCATAGTTTAATCTAGGACATCTAACCCTCTAATTTTTGTTTTCTTTAATTCCTTAGAAAAGTGAACTCTTTTTTATTTTGAAGATGGCTTAATATTTGTACATTTTACATAATTAGGCTTTCTTATTGTAATAACATTGATAAACAACTCGGTTTGGTAAATAGATCCTTTAACAACTTCATGATGTTTCTTGTGTTGCTGGAATATTTTATCTAACCCCTATTGATAGATAATGTAGTTTTCTTCCAAGTTTTTCTCATTATACACGGTTCATTTGTATCATGTCTTATTTTAATTGCAGAAATAATGCATGAATATACTTTTCCTACAAAAGACTTAAACATTACAAATAAGGCACATGTGCCTTAAACCATCCTTGTTCACATTCTCTTCCCCTCAAAGAAAATCACGGTCTGTTGGTTATTTATATTTCCTGATCATTTTGCTGTTTTTTTTACGTAAATGTCTTAGGAGGAATTAAATGGAGATACTTAAATACCTACCTCATAATTTTGTGTGAGAATTAAGACACAAATTGCTTACAACTGTGCCTGTCCTATAATAAATAGATACTCACTCAGTGTTGGTCATGGTTATTATATTCATCATTTTCATCAGTGTTGCTTATTGAAGGGTAACTGTTCCTGCAGATCTTAACATCAGGCAGGGTATTTAGTTGAAGAAATACTCATTGAGAGTAAGGAATTACAAACATTTTCTAATTGTTTTCTGTAAAACATGAACTAATCCTGGGTGTTGGTGGGGAAAGTAATGTGTGGGAAGGATTTTATTCAGACTGACTTCCTTTATGCTACATCACATCATACCTAAAAATGAGAAAATATTATAGGCAATGCATGAATGATGTTGGTGAAAAAGTGTGAAAAGACAAACAGCATTATATTTGAAAAGTGAATATATGTTTATATGAGAAAACTTACCCATATTTAATATACTTTCTGATACATTTGAAAATGATTATTTTAGTAAAATAAAATCACCAATGTTGGCTCAGAGAGTAGAATCCTTGGGAGACTCTTAGAACCGTAAGGTAAAGGAAAATTAGTATGCGATGGCACACTGTAGTCCTTCCTTATCCATAGCTTAACCTGCAGTTTCAGTTACCTGTGTTCACAGTCCAAAAATATTCCCTGGTGGTGCAGCAGGTTAAAGTGCAGCACTGTAAGCTAACTGGAGCAGCTTCAGCAGGAGTTCGATCCCCTGCTCTGGAGCTGACCCACAAGGCACAGCACACCTCTCCAGTCTCACCTGCTGCCCCCCTCAGCAGTGTATTTCAGTGGATCTGTCTGTTCTGCTCCCCACTCTGTCTCTGGTGAATCCTCTCACCGCCCCTGCACCTGTGGCTGGAACCCCAGTTCTGTATGCATTAGCAAATTAATCTTTTAAAAAAAAAATCCATAGAATGGAGACCACATTTGTATAATTTTTTTTACAGTATATTGTAGTTTTATTTTTAGTTACCTTTGCTGTGCCTAATTTATAAATAATCATAGTTGTGAATGTATAGGAAAAAGAGTCTCTATAGGTTTTAGCTCTGGCCTCAGTTTCAGGCCACTGGGGCCTTGCAACATATTCCCCATAGAGAAGGGGGTTGACTGTGCTATTGTTAATGAAACACCAAACTCATTTAGGCCATACTTAATCAAGTGTTCAAGGAACAATTTTTTAAAAAAGGAACAATTTATTGTATAATACAAATCACATATTCCAACAACCATGGTATTAGAAATGTAGTAAAAAGACAAAAAGAAGGCTGTTTTGGGAGTATTGGGAGGGTAAATGCAAGTATACTGAGGAAATTAGCAAACGGAAGACATGTATAGGAAAAGTAGCCAAACAAGAACAACTGCAAGAAGCAGTTGTTGAAAATTACCCATAGGGCCCTCCCTGGTGGCACAGTGGGTGAAAGCGCAGCACTACGAAGCTTTCTGTTGTCACTGCAGCATGAGTTCGATCCCCAGTCAGGGAGCTGACCCGTATGGCGCAGCAGACCTCTCCTGTCTCACCCACTGCTCCCCTCAGCAGTGGATTTCAGTAAATCTGCCTGTTTTGCTTCCCACTGTCTCTGGTGAATCCTGCAATCCTGGCCTACAGGTGCAGAGTTCTGTACAAGGGTATAAACAATGGGGATACAATCCTTTGGCAATCAGTCATATCTTGAATTAGTTAGAAAAACATTCTCTATATGCCCACAGACCTCGGCCCTCTTCAGCGGGAAGTAGTTCTTATACAAGACAAACTTCCATCCATCATCCCTTAAGAATGAGTGTCAATATATAGTCAGAGAAGGGAACTGTCACTGGGTTAATAACCATACTTCCTTGTCATTCCTCTGGTCCCTTTGATCTTTTCTTGCAGACACAACCAGAAAACAAGGCAAAACTGGCTGAAACAAAGATGGATGTAGAAGTAAGACCAGCGTGAAGCCACAGCCTCATGCTCACACTCACTGTGCCATGACACAAGCATCAATACCAAACTCGGAAGAAAAAGGTGGCTTGGATGCAGTTCCTGGAAAACTGGCTCTTGTCTTGGAAGTACTGCTGAGGTAGAACTTTAGCTTCTCCCTTTCCTTAGTACTCCCCATTTGGAGGAGATGACGGTAGTCTCCATGCCCTCAGCTTTGCCGGTGCCTGATTCTACTTGATTTCCTTCCACCAGCTCCTACCTCAAGTTTTGGCTTGTGAGTCTCGAGTAGCCAGACAGCTCCCTCTCCCCAACTTCTTTGACACCATCACTGCTCACCAGCACAGCAGCACTTGGTGATGCAGTCCGTCCACATGACATGCAGCACTTCCGGATCAGTTTATGAGTAATGAAATATTTCTCTAGGTTCACATTGCATTGTCAGGTTACTGATCCCAGTTCCAGTGGGTGTCAGAGGCTTTCCCATTGCAACAGGCAACTCTCAACACCAGGAACGTGTCTGAAAACTCAAGTCTGACATTAGCATCATGTTGCAAAGGTCAAGGGTTTAGTTACCCAAGACCTCTGTCCACTTTAGGCAACAAATGCAAACCCCAGGCTATCTGCTTCCTACCAACCTACCCTAAGGATTTTTCATTTCTAGAGCTGGTTTACAACTAATAATTTTTTTTTTTAAGATTTGTATATGCATACAGAACTGGGGTACAGGCCAGAGGTACAGGGGCCCTGAGAAGATTCACCAGAGACAGAGTGGGGAGCAAATCAGGCCCACTGACAAGTTATACTGCTGGTCAGGAGAGGTCTGCCACACCCTATGAATCACCTCCAGGGCCAGGGATCTAACTCCTGGCTGCAGCTAGCTTGTAGTGCTGTGTCCTAACCAGTTGTGCCACCAGGGAGAGCTAATGTTAATCATTTCTACCCCCTCCTCCAGGTCCTGGTCTTGGAATACCTTCATCCCAATTTTTCTACTTTTAGCCTCCATTCAACTATCCTTCAGACTTCATTTACAGCCACAGAGGCATTCAGAGAAACAAAATTTCACGTACTCACAGTCAGCCCCATTAACTCACACGCCCCTACCACATTTCCAACCCAACACCGGTTCACCTCATGAAACTCCTTTACAACCCACCAGTATTCACAGTGGCATCATTTCCATCCCAAAGCTGTCACACCCAGTGCAAAACTCGCACCCAGAACTGCCCTAAAGACAGTGACTGAGGACAGTACGGTTCTAAGCCACAGACCTCCCTAGTTTTCCCCACGCAGTCCTGAATGCATCCGTCGTTGGCCCCCTGACCGTGCCCGTCGTTGGCCCCCTGAATGCATCCGTCGTGGGCCCCAGTGCATCTCCGGGTTCTGCAGCTGCTTGCTCAGGACGAAGCCCCCAAGCGCC